GACCATGTATGACTATGTTTTATTACAGGTTTATTTCATTGTACGTCTCCTACTTTTTACGTCAATTTCTTGTTTGACTTCCGTAGTCCAATTTTGCCGTTAATTTCCCTGTAACAACATCTGATATGTTTTAGTTTCTATACTATTGCCGTTAATTTCCCTGTAACAACATCTGATATGTTTTAGTTTCTATACTATTGCCGTTAATTTCCCTGTAACAACATCTGATATGTTTTAGTTTCTATACTATTGCCGTTAATTTCCCTGTAACAACATCTGTTTTAGTTTCTATAGCCGTTAATTTCCCTGTAACAACATCTGATATGTCTTAGTTTCTATACTATTGCCGTTAATTTCCCTGTAACAACATCTGTTTTAGTTTCTATACTATTGCCGTTAATTTCCCTGTAACAACATCTGATATGTTTTAGTTTCTATACTATTGCCGTTAATTTCCCTGTAACAACATCTGTTTTAGTTTCTATACTATTGCCGTTAATTTCCCTGTAACAACATCTGTTTTAGTTTCTATACTATTGCCGTTAATTTCCCTGTAACAACATCTGTTTTAGTTTCTATACTATTGCCGTTAATTTCCCTGTAACAACATCTGATATGTTTTAGTTTCTATACTATTGCCGTTAATTTCCCTGTAACAACATCTGTTTTAGTTTCTATACTATTGCCGTTAATTTCCCTGTAACAACATCTGTTTTAGTTTCTATACTATTGCCGTTAATTTCCCTGTAACAACATCTGTTTTAGTTTCTATACTATTGCCGTTAATTTCCCTGTAACAACATCTGTTTTAGTTTCTATACTATTGCCTTTATTTCCCTGTAACAACATCTGATCTGTTTTAGTTTCTATACTATTGCCGTTAATTTCCCTGTAACAACATCTGTTTTAGTTTCTATACTATTGCCGTTAATTTCCCTGTAACAACATCTGATCTGTTTTAGTTTCTATACTATTGCCGTTAATTTCCCTGTAACAACATCTGATCTGTTTTAGTTTCTATACTATTGCCGTTAATTTCCCTGTAACAACATCTGTTTTAGTTTCTATACTATTGCCGTTAATTTCCCTGTAACAACATCTGTTTTAGTTTCTATACTATTGCCGTTAATTTCCCTGTAACAACATCTG